TCCTCGATAACTCTTATGCATGCATTCTCTTTGATAGTGGTGTGGAGAGGAGTTTCGTTAGGCATAAATTCAAAAACCTACTCAAACACAAACCACAATCACTAATCGAAACATTCACCATTGATATGGCTAACGGGAAGAAAGAGAGCACTAATGATATATTCATAGGTTGTACCCTCACTCTAAACGACTACTCATTTTCCATTGACCTTATGTCGGTCTCCATAAAAAGCTTCGACGTCATTATCGGGATGGATTGATTAAGTCCTAACCGTGCCGATATCCTTTGCTACGAAAAAGTCATTCACCTTAATCTGCCAAATGGCGAAGCCCTTGTTATTTATGGCGATAAACTCAGTTCAAACCTTTGCATCATATCTTGCATAAAAGCCCAAAAATACATGCGAAAAGAGTGTCACACATTCTTAGCCCATGTTGTCAACGAAACACAAGAAGTTAAAAACCTCGAGAACATCCCCAAAGTCTGTAACTTTCCTGATATCTTCCCCGAAGATCTTCCAGGAGTTCCTCCTGAACGCCAAGTCGAGTTCCGAATCGACTTAATCCCTGGAGCTACCCCCATTGCCAAATCCTCGTATCGTCTAGCTCCAACGGAAATGCAGGAATTATCCAGCCAAATAAATGAACTGCTCAGTAAAGGATTCATTAGACCAAGCTTCTCACCTTGGGGAACACCGGTCATGTTCGTTAAGAAGAAGGATGGATCATTCCAAATGTGCATAGATTATCGCGAACTGAACAAGCTCACTATTAAAAACCGATACCCTCTCCCGCGTATAGATGACCTCTTCGATCAACTCCAAGGAGCCAACTACTTTTCAAAGATAGATATGAGATTGGGGTATCACCAGTTACGAGTCCATGAAAATTATGTTCCCAAAACAACATTCTGAACTCGTTATGGTCACTACGAGTTTGTAGTAATGCCCTTTGGTTTAACCAATGCACCCGCGGTATTCATGGATCTAATGAATCGAGTGTGCCGACCCTTCTTAGACAAATTCGTGATAGTATTCATAGAGGATATACTTATCTATTCACGAAGAGAGGAAGAACATAGTCAGCACCTGAGACAAGTCTTAGAAACTTTAAGAGCGGAAAAGCTTTACGCTAAGTTCTTAAAGTGCAAGTTTTGGATTGAGAAGGTAAATTTCCTTGGTCAAGTGGTCAGCGAAGAAGGCATGCACGTGGACCCTTCCAAAATTAAGGCAATCGAGAATTGGTCAGCACCGAGAACACCCACAGAAATCCGTCAATTTTTGGGTCTTGCTGGCTACTATCGCTGATTTATATAGAATTTCTCCAGAATCGCTAAACCGCTTACTACCCTGACTCAGAAGGGTGTAACCTTTAGTTGGGGGGGGAACAACAAGACACTGTGTTCCAGACTCTGAAGCAAGCCCTGTGCAGCGCACCTATCTTGTCTCTTCCAGAAGGGACAGAAGACTTCGTGGTTTGTTGCGATGCATCCAATCAGGGGCTAGGCTGTGTACTTATGCAGCGAGGAAAGGTTATTGCCTATGCCTCGAGACAGCTTAAGACACATAAAGTCAACTACACTACTCCCGATCTTGAGTTGGAAGGGTGTGAGAAATGAGCTTGCAACGTTGCTATTTATAGAAAGTATAAGAGGGTGCGCCGCACACCCTGTCTAGGCGTGTCACACCTCTTATCAAGGGCGTTAGTGTGGTTCCAGTCGTAGGTTGCTACGTATCAGCTTATGGGTGGGTTGACAGTGCGCGTCGCACACCTTTTCGATGCGCGCCCACGCACACACGCATAGATTCTTCATATCTTCTTCATACGAGCTCCATTTTTTACATTATTTATATCCATGCGTAGCTATCAACAAAATCTACAATTTTCATTTAGACTCTGTGTGTTAATTCTCAATTTATTTTTTAAAGTTATATTTTTAACAGGCTTAGACTGTTAAAGTCCGTATAAAAATCATAACTCTCTCATACGACCTCCGTTCTCGACTGTCTTTATATCGACGAGATCTTTAACTCTCGTTTAGATTGCTTTGCCTGACAATCAACCGATATAAAATTCGGTTTCGATGTAGCACACTTCTATATTGAAACTTCGAAAATTCATAAATTCCTCATATGAAATCAGATTTGGACATTCTCTATATGCACGAGTTCGCTTTTACGATTTCTATGACTTTCATTTAGATTACTTAGGCTGATACGCAACATATCCTTGATTCACTTTTTATGACGTACATAGCCGTGTCGGTTTTGATCGCGAAACTTCGAAGAAACATAACTTCTTCCTACGAAGTCTGATTTAGGCGCTCCTTATATCTACGAGATTGTCATTATGACTAATACACCTTTATCTAAGATTATTCATTATATCTTAAATGTATAGCCTGAATTTGCGGGCATTACAAGCATGAGATGTGATAATGGCAAGGTAGGGGTTCAATAAAACCCTAAAATTATACAACATGGATGGGAATGTATACCTGGTGGAATCACACAACATGGATTGTCGATGGAGCCTTAGGGAGAGTTTTTTGAACCAGTCAAGAGATGAAGCATGGTTTCATACAATTGGAAATAAGATAACATGATTTTATATGAGGATGACACACAAAAATAGCAAAGGGTTGGACCTTTTCTTTCTTTCTTTCTTTCTTTCTTTTTTTTTTAAATTTTGATTTATGATATCGAAATACGACATACATGTTTGTATGTCATGAAATATTACAAACAACGACATAATTTTACGATGGGCAATTTTGTTGTAAATTCCTAAGGCGTTGTTTGTTTTTTCTAAAAAACCACTTCTGACCACTTATTGTTGCGCCGCCCAGCACACGTGCAACACTTGACCCTTCGGAGTTGTTTGTTTTTCAGAAGACTTCTAACTTAAAAACTGTTGCGCGTGTGCTGCGTGGCGCAGCACTGGACCATCTGCTTCAAACCTCTTCATACCTTACTTTAACTTATTGCAGCAGTCTGCAGATGTTAAAAAACAAACAGATTTTTTATTACATGCTGCAGCTGTTTGGTCCCCCTTTTCTGCTACAGAGGGTTGCAGAGGTGGTCCGCAGATTTCATGCATTTTCGCTTCGAAAAAACAAACAGTACCTAAGATTTAATTACTTTTATGGCAGACATTTTTATCTATCATAAAGTCAATGTGTGCCATAAATAGTATATCATGTTCTTTTTCTTCTAATAGTATGTTCCTAGTTCCTACAACACATCTAACCATCTATAAAATTACCAAAGTAAAACTTTTATTACCCTTTCATACGTATTGGATATTAAGGATATTTATTAGATAATACTATATATTAACCATATTTGGATCTTTCACTTTATGAATATTACAAAAAGATTATAAGCATTGAGATAAATTCAACTCAAGTGGTAATGTTTCATGGACAGGTGTCAACAACTTTCAAGTAAAATAAAAACTCATTCGGGGAGTTGAAATAAATGTCACATCTCAAGGAGGTGGTTTATAAACCCTAATAATTCACCTAAAAAGTAATTAAATAATACTGAATTATAAATATTTGTCATCAATCTATGTACAGTTAAATTTAAAATTAATTGCATTGGTATGGATCTTGTCGGGTCAATAATTCATCTAACATGTACACAAAAATTTATATTATAAAAATTCACATTTCATGAGAATATTGTTTCTAAAAATCTTAAATAGATCTAATACATGTTCATCTAAATACGCTATTATTTTAAATAAGGACACCTTCAGCTTCTCAATAATGAAAATTGAAAAAGCCACTAATTACGTTAGAAGTATCAATCCAGTAGACTGCAAAAGGTACCATTTATGCATAAAACATTAAAACATTAATGATACCCACCAAAATAACAAATCAAGGAGACAACAAATATCTGATAGCCTAATGAATAAGAAGGAAGGTTTAAAAGTCAGTAATGATTTTGTTTAATACAATAGAGGAAACACAAATAGGAAAAACAAATAAGGAAAAACTGGAATTCTATTTATATTTGTCTTTTTTTTTATCAGAGGTAATTATTGCTACATAAAAAGATACTTTAACTAAAAAAAAAAACAATTTTTATTATCTAAACATTTGAAAAATGCAAATATATGAATAGAAATGCGAAAGTTCATAGTAGCACTATAACTTATTTTATTTTATTTTGTTTTATTTATTTATTTAAAGAGGGGTGTTTAACCACCGGTTTTTTGATTTAACCATTTAACTATTTCTTCCCCCAATGAACCTACTCTATAACACACTATAAAAACCACTATACTTTCAGACTTCTTCAGTTTAACCCTTTGATTTTTTTTTCTTTAACCACTAAAACTTTGATTTTTACTAAAAATAAATGACTTCGGCAAGAAAAATACTCGCTTGATTGTAGTTTAAAATTCACTATCGGAAAAAAATGAAGTACTTTTATTTATAAAGATAAACAAAACTTTTAGCCGTTAAAACATTAAAAGACTCTTTCGGTTTTTAAAAAGTATCGAGTAAAATGTAAAATTTGAATAGGTATCTCAAAAAGTATATTTTAAGTTTGGTATAGTTAGTCTAAAATTAATACTTCCATACAGATTTATGGGATACCATAGACCAAATTTATGGAAGTTTTACTTTTATACTCAACATAGGAATAAAAAAAAAATAAAAAGTATTTGTTGGGATACCATATGGAACAATTTTGCAATTTACTCTAACATATGTATTGATTTTTATAAAATTAGATTTATTAAAGACATTTTATGCCTATTAAGTAAAATGTTACGTTGTTTTTGTAATAAAAGGTTCAAACTCTAACATAATGACTCAAAGAGTTGAATAATTTATAAGTTATTTAAGAGAGAGTACACGTTCAATTTTTATGTCAAGTACCTGTTTGCATTTTAACAGGACTATAGGGGCCAAAATGAAAGAAAAACCCAACGAAATATATAAAATTCCCTTCGTTTCCCCCTCCTCTGAAAACTTGCCAAATGTTGAATATTCTCTCTTTCTCTCATTTATGCTGATTGGAGGTATGTTCTTGAGCAGCAGAAGCACAACACACGAAGAAGAAAGAAGAAGAAGAAGGTGAAATTAGGACCTTTTGAAAATCAACAAATTCGGTTGTCATCGTGAGAAAGTTTGTGTGATAGAGAAAGAGAGAGACATGGGTTGTTTCTTTTGCTCCGGTGGAGATTCTTCTGGGAAAAGATCACCACAAAATAAGAGAAAGAACAACACCAAGAACAACCAATCACATCCCTCTCCTGGTACGTATAATGCAATCGGTTCTTTTAACTGTTTTTAAATCATTTAAGAGCATTCAAAATAGTTAGTTTTGAAAGTTTAATCGATCGGGATCGTATTTGGGGAAAATTTTCATCTTTCAAATTCTTATTATAACTCGATAATGGATTAATTTGTTGTTGTTTTTCTTTCTGAATCATGCATGCCCTTAACCTGTTCGACGTAATTCCTCTTCATTCTTCTGGATTTGCATTATTTTAATGTTTCGATCTCTTTCGTGGTTTTATGATCCCAAAGTTTGAACTTGTAAATGGAAACATACTGATCCTAGTGATTTTTTATATTTTATATTTCATCATCTTGATCAATAGTGAGATGCGATTTAATCCTTGTAATTTAGGCAATAATCTGTTCTATCTGTTGGCCATACTTTTTGTTTAATCAGTTAAATAGTCTACTTTTTCATCATCATCATGAGCAACCCCATAAAATTTTTCGTGAAACTTCATATAAAACAACAACATTGTTTTAAATCTGCGATTTGTTAATTCCTTTTTTGTTTATTTCCTTTTGTTTTTTATAACTGTTGTCATATCCCCTGTTTCCTTCCTCTATGATGTTGAAAGTTTCATTGTTTTTTTTTTTTTTACTTTCTTTGTCTTCTCTGCTTCCACACACACAAACACACAGTTCCTGGTGTTTTTAACGATTAAAATTTGTTTGTACGTATGATTTAGATAACTCCAACTTGAATCCAAGTGGCGAATTGAAGAAGGATAATCCTAAAGAATCCAAACAATCATCAGTTGCCAATGAGAACGATGATAAAATCAAGTCTCCCAACAATAAAGAGTCTAACAAAACCAAGGCACGAAAATTTACATTCGCTCAATTGGTAACTGCCACCAATAACTTTAAGGCTGCAAATTTCTTGGGTGAGGGTGGATTTGGTAAAGTTTATAAGGGAAAATTAGAAGACACTCATGAGGTTTGTGATCTTTAATCAATAAAAAAAATCCTAACAAGAATCACAAAATTCATATATTGGATTAGTCATAAATGGGTAACCAATTATTTTTCTAAAAAAACATTTTCAAATGTTACGCGGCTTAAACTTTTTGTTCACAAATACCAAGACTTTTATGGTATTTCGTGATTGCTTACATTATTAGAGTACTTTTAAAAAACAATGTTTTGTTAAAAAACAAATAATTCGTTACCCATTTACGATATTAACCCATTAAAGTATGAATCTTGATTTATTTTTTTTGTTGCAGATTGTTGCTATTAAGCGATTGGATCTTGATGGAAGTCAAGGGATTCGAGAATTTGTTGTTGAAGTTTTAACTTTAAGCATGGCTAATCATCCAAATTTGGTCAAATTAATCGGTTATTGTGCCGAAGCCGAACAAAGGTTATTAGTCTACGAGTACATGCCATTAGGTTCTTTGGAGGACCATCTGCACGGTACTTTATTTATCAGATAATAGATAACAGATAACAGTCAGATAATCAGTTGTTTACAGATAGTGACTAATTGGAACTTGGATTTATCGTGTTAGGTCTACGTGTGAATAGGAAGCCGCTTGATTGGAACGCGAGGATGAAAATAGCGTCGGGTGCGGCCCGCGGGTTGGAGTATTTGCATGACCGAATGAATCCGCCGGTTATATATCGAGATTTGAAGTGTTCTAATATTTTATTAAATGAAGAATATCATGCCAAGTTGTCGGATTTTGGGTTAGCAAAAGTGGGCCCACTTGGGGACAAGACACATGTCTCGACCCGAGTGATGGGTACGTACGGTTATTGTGCTCCCGATTATGCATTGACCGGTCAACTTACCTTCAAATCCGATATATATAGCTTTGGAGTTTTGCTCTTGGAGCTCATTACGGGGAGAAGACCAATTGATAATACAAAACCTACTTCCGAGCAAAATCTTGTTACTTGGGTAAGTTCAATAACTAATTCATAATAAATACACACTAAAAAATATACCATCAAAAAAAGTGGTGTAGAGCAGCTCAGCTTAGGGGTTGCTGGAAGAATAACTGATTGAGCAGTATCTGTTGTGTTGTCAGGCACGACCGTTGTTCAAAGAGCGAAAGAAGTTTTCTCGGATGGTGGACCCTATGCTTGAAGGGAAATACCCTGTGAGGGGGCTTTATCAAGCTCTTGCCATTGCTGCAATGTGTCTACAAGAACAACCCAACATGAGACCTCTTGTGGCGGATGTTGTAACGGCTCTTAACTATTTGGCAACCCAAAAATATGATCCGTTAATTCACCCAGTTCAGAGGTCAAGATACTGGTCAAACCTTGACCAGGATGGGGTTGTATCGCCTTGAAAGGTGGTTTCAAACACTAATATTTATATCAGAACTGGAGGAGAAATTCCTCCATTTTTGTTTGTTTTTGTTTTTTTTTTTTGGGAGTTGATGAGAAGCATTATACGTAGTGGTAGGATGTGGGGTTAAAAGGGGAGTTTTGTACAAGGAGTTTTTTTTTTCTCCTTCGAAGATGGTAAAGTAAAATGTTGGATTTTTAAAGCAAAAGACAAGAGTTTTTGTAAATGGATGTAAAGGTTTTCTTTTTCTCGAAGGATGGGTGTGGTCAAATAGTAACACAAAGACAAGGAGAGATGTCGTGTAATTGAATCTTTAAAAAAAAAAAAAAAAGGTGTTAATAAGGTATAAGAATGAACTTGAGAGTTTAAATTTTTGGGGGGTTTTCATATATTTGTTTTGAAAACAAGTATTTACAATAATCAAAATTGTATAATCAGTTTTAACAAATGGGTTATACTTGGATGTGTTTTTTGTGTTTGTCGATAATCAATTGTTTCAGATTATATAGAGATTATATAGATGAAATCCGTAGTCGATGGTGCCTTTGAGGTATTCGATGATGTGTTTTAAGATTGTAGTGTGGTTTGTAAGGAACATACACACACAAACAAATTAACTGAATCGCATATTTATGTGATGTCCGGAGTAGTAAACATCAGATATTTTACTTTTACAGTTATACTTAGACAATTATTCAAATTAGTACTACTCCGACTCAAATAATTGAAATTTCATCACAAACTTTCATTCACCTATAGATGCAAGAACGATGTGAAATAATTGAAATTTCATCACAAACTTTCATTCACCTATATATGCAAGAAATATGTGAAATTCCATCATAGAAGTATGTATAATACAAGTTTGAAGAATCACAATCTAAATGGGATTTAAGACTTACCAAATATAAAGATAAAGAGATAATTACAAATAATTGATTACAAATATCAATCTAATAAGGATAACTGCTAACATACCTTATATTTATATTAATGTTATATTTAAACAAAATTAATTTAATATTATACAACTCTACACCTCAATAACTTCATTCTCTCCGCAATGACCAACCCACAAGTACATGACTCCTTCCTTCCTAGAACGCAAAACTCTACAACAATCCTTCCTTGGTGCCTGCCATATGAACAAGAAACCAATTACCAAATGATATAAACAATATTATAGAAAAAGGTTATTAGATCTCGATGCATCATGTACCCTTTGCCAACGATCGGGATCTTCCTCCTTCAAGACGACCACAGTATGGATGGTTTCAGGAGACTCCATCTTCCATCTGCATCGAGGGTGGCGTTCCCGGTGATGAGTGTATATTCCGATGATCTGCTTCCTGTCTTTATCGTATCGTGTGGAGTTTATGTAGAACACGAATGGCGTCTGGCATCGGTTCCCGGTGATTGGACGAGTGTTGAATGAGTAGGATGTAAAATCAAGCACTTTGTACCAGTTGATAAACGTACGACTAGGAATCTCTAGCTCTCGTGGAGACAGAATTCCCCTCATGATCTGAACAGCGAAACCCCATGACACCAGAATCGACCATTCTCTTTTCCGATCATAACAAATTGACTGCTGTGCAAGACTCGAGGAATCGTATTTCGCAGAATCTAGTAAGTGTTTGATCGATTCTACTCTTTCCATGCCTGGGAATACCGGTTCGATTACATCAAAGTGGTGGAGTGAGACCAACGGCGTCACTGGATGGCCGGAGAGTATACCCAATAGGCTTCCATAGATATCGTTCTGAAAAGTTGCGAAAAAAAAAAGAAATCAGTCTGACTAAATACGAATTCTTGTAGTATTTAAAGAAGTTTGATCTATCGAAAAAACAAACCTGATGGAAGCCTGGTTCTCTGGTGAGAGGGACATTAAGCTCAGCCATGCAAGCTTGCATCCTGTCGTCGCTTCCATACAAACCAGGGTATCGTTTAATACACCGATCTTGCATCTTCTCCAATTCCTTAGCCAAAGGGTAACTGATGGCGAACCCACCACCACCATAAGCCATTAAATATGAAAAATAGATGTTCTGCAAATGACTTTCCGACGAGCTTCCGATATAATAAAACTGGTTGTGATTGTATTTAGACAAAACCCTCACAACATTCTCCTTAACAAAAACCGTGTCATCGTCTCCCATGACAAACCATCTAATGTCCTCCAACCCAAGTCTTAATGCTTCTGAAACTATCCTTGATATGCGAATGGCTGACCTATGTCCCTGTTTGTTCGTGTATGGGAATCTTGAAGTGTCTCCTGAGATGTAAATGTCGGGTAGACTTTCGTTTGGTTTGATTTTCACGTCCATGTCGAGCCAAACACCTCCTCTGGTCTCCCCAGGCTTCCACCATAGCTTGATGTATTCCTTCCTTGATTCCCATAGATTTGAGGAGGCTGCAATGCAAAATGCGATATGTTTGAGCTCGGTGTCGTACCCGATTTTGGGTTGTTTGGTTTCTGTGAGATTAAACAGGCTAGCTTTGGTGGCGTTGGGGTGGAGATCAGAATCTTGGCAGTTGATCTTGGTGATTAAGTGAGGAGGATAAATGAGAATTTCGTAAGAGTAGAGGAGGTAGAGGAGGAGTAGGAAGAGGAAGAGAGAGGGGAGTGATGATCGGATAATGGAGGCAAGGCTAAATGAAGGGCGGTGTTGGGTGGAAGAGGAGGAGATCATTATGGTGGTGGTGGTTGGATTTGGAAATTGAGAAGGTGGTGGATCGGAGTAGGGTGGTTGCAGGATGCCCCATTGTTAGAGCTAATTTCCAGCGTCAATGATGTTTGGATGGAGAGAAATGCTTTGGTACGAGTGATGTTCGGATTGAAATGGAGATTTGATAGCAAATAAAAGCCGAGAAGAAGTCAAGAATGTCTCAAAATACACTTGCACAACATGTCTACAAAGTCGCTAAATATTACTTTGTCCCCTATGTTTGAGACACGTGGGGACTAAACTCAGTGAAACTGATTGTCATTGACAAAACAAAGATGTCACAAAATCAAAGTTGCACACATTTTTGTTTTGTCAAAATCCCAAGTTGGTAATACTATTTAAAAAGGAGAAATTAAAAATCTCTTGTATTTTATTCTTATTATCTTCATATCCATATTAAATAATTGTTATAAATAGACTAAAATATTATCAATTTTATTAAATGTGTCATTAAATATGACACATGTCAATATTTGTTATGATAGGAGGATAAGTAAGAATAAAATGTAGGAGAATATTTAATTTCTCTTTAAAAAGTCCATAATTTTACATAGAAGTAACGATAAACTAGTAACAATACATCTCAATGTGAATGTGTTGGTAAAATAAAGAGTCGATGGAAGTAAGAATCTGTTTAGTACCAGCCTTTATGAAGAGACCATGTCAGTCCCGTCACCCATGATATATTATGGTAGATTTGGTGATAAGAATAGTATCTAACTAATTATAGCCGGTCGAAGTGTCGCGCTAAATTTCGATAAACATAGTAAACTTATCTAATAATTAGTTCGACAATACAACTAGTCATTTGTCAATTTCAAATGAAACTGTGCTACATGAAGTAATGATGTTTGTCAACTCGAACCTACTCGACTAAATCAGTTTTAGTCATTAGTCAATACATGTCTAATGAAGCAAACCCAATTCAACAAGACTAAGGTGATGCTTGTTTTTTATAAGAGAAAATGTCTCAAGTATGCGGATCATATCTGCAACCCTATGCTTCAGAAGTGGGGGACCAAAATACTACAACATATAATAAGAAGTCTGTTTGTTTTTAACGTCTGCTCACTGTTGCAATAAACTGAAATTAACCATACAATAGTTAAAAATAGTTCTAAATCAAAATTTTATTTTGTTTAATCATATTCAAATCAAATATAAAGATCATTGTGATGATATGATTTTTAAGGACATTTATATAAAATAATTAAACATGATATTTGCTAAATAACAATAAATAAAATTGTTAATTCATAGAACACCATGTTCGTTTTGTTAAATTTTCGAAAACGATAGTTATTTTTCCGGTTAGCTTCAATAAATTTGGTAATTTAGTGATTAACTTTATAATTTATCAATATTTGGTTATAGACAATGTAACACCAAAAAATATATATTTATATGAAATTTACTAAATGATTTTGAAATTATGTAAAATATACTCAAATTATTCTTCATAATATTATTAAAATAATAAACATGTTGAAAAAAACTAGAACAAATCTATGTTGAGGAGGAGGGTCTAATGTTGCGTCATGCAGCACACGTGCAACATTCGTAAATCTTCAAAACAAAAAAGTCCAACCTACCCGGTTTCAATGTAGAATGGAATTAAGTTTTTCCCTTTTATTACCATCATGTCATTAAGAAATAATATATACATTAAGAAATATTTGAATAACAAGTAAATAACTAATTTACCATCATATATTATTCAATGTTGTAAAAATCGTTTGACGGTAACAAGTAAATAACTGATGTTAAGGGATTAATCGGGGACCATAAATTTTTAATAAAATATTAAAATTAATTAAATATTAATATATCTTAAGAAAAACAAGTACTTCAAAATTAGAAAATAAGAAAAATTGTAATTTACGAAAATATGAACATTTTTGTATAATATTTGAAATTTTGAAATTTTGAAAATTTTGGAGTAAAAAAATAAGTTGGTTTTTTGAATTTTTAAAATTTTTTTTACCTTTTTTGACTTTTTTTTTTACTTTTTTGACTTTTGTTGACCGATTAATCCCTCGAAGGCCGATTAATCCCGCCAAACCCGATTAATCCTAAATTTCCGATTAATGTCTTAATCCTCGACGGTTCGAGAACGCCAATCGATTAATCCACGATTAATCGCCGATTAATCCCGATTTCTGCAACCATGATATTATTATAATTAAAAAAATGTTGGCATGATCCAAAATTAGGGTCTATACCTTTTTTTTAAGTCACCCGTTATACCCACAACTAACCATTATAGTAGTGGGTGTCATATCGTCACCACACTTCCTACCACTAACAATGGGATACCTACCACAAAACACACCACTCCATCTCATTTTTTTAATTAAATTTAATTCAAAAA